GCAGCTTCTGGTTGCCCAGCCAGAACTCTCCGGTCAGATCCCCGAATCCTTCTGTGTACTCCCGCCAGATCCGGTTGAAGCTCACCGAGCCGTCCTGGCGTCTCTGAAACACCTGATCAAAAAAATATATATTATAAACGGTAATAATTTTCCCCGCGAATAGGCCAGTTATTAGCAGAAATGGTATTATTAAGCGTGTTATATTCCGTTGTATGTAGTATACAACAGCCGGTATTTGTGCCTTTCAGCACAAAAACTGTCATTTTGTTATTCTAATTTTGTGAAAACCAAATAAAAATCATATTTGGGCTAATGCTCACACTAAAACATGGCTTCTTCTTTCTTCTTTATAATCTTGATAGGATGGGTTTAACAACGAAAAATATGATTGGACAAATTGTATCCGCACCTGTGGTTTCCGAGGGCATATTTTGCCCGAGGACACCCCAAATCTCCGCATAATTATTCTTAAGACACACACTTTCTTTGTTATTGAAAAACAAATACCTGAGACAATGTGAGTGGTTGATGAGCTTTGTGTAGTGAAAAATGGGCTCGCTTTAATGCCAAATTTGGCACAGAGATAGACCAATATTAAATAAACCAATGTAGATATTGGGGCATCGCAGATATGGCCCTTGCCGGCTGTGGGAGCCATCATTATGAAGTACTGAGTCATGCTGAGTCCGCACTATTTTGTAATTCTTTTTCTCGTGCAGGATGGAGGGGAAAAACACCTTTTGTCCCTCCCCTTTTCTACGTGCTTGGATGAAAAAGGCATAAATAATTCATTTTTTTTTCAATACCCCATTACAAAAAAATCATCTAAAATCAATGTCAGCTGTTGTTATGTTCTTCCTGTATGTACTAAACTGTACTGTATACAGATGTACATAAACACGAAGTAAAATTGGTCTTATAAATTCAAGTTCTGACTCGCCAAAAATAACGTACTGGCAATGTCTGAGACGTTCCACTAGCATAGCAGAAAAGACTCTTGCTAAAACCTTGCCCCACTTTCAAATGATACGAGTTGAGCCACAATAAATGCTAAGTCAGCTCTTTTTAAATGCAATTATGTTGCCAGATTCGGAAAAAAAAGTCATTTTTTGTAAACTTTTTGTAAACAGAATCAAACGCTGTGCTAAGCGATGTCCAACACGTATTAAAATGGATTTGTGAAACACCTTTGAACAAGTTGGACATTTCAGACATCAATTTGAAGAACAGATTGACCAGGTGTCAGGATTTTTCTGTATATAGCTATTTTTAATTTTATTTTTGGCTGGGGAGAGTACGGAACTGGAAAACCCAAATAAATCTCTTCGCTAGAAAGAATAGTTATATAAATAGTAGGAAACAGGGACAGATAATAATATTTGCAGTTGCATGGTGCATCTTCCCACTTCTCGTTAGCTCCAGCGCGTGTTTGTTAATGTTACTGGTTCACTAATTAGCAGTATACACGTTTGCACGGACGTTCAATTATTTTACAGTAGTTGCATTGCTTTTCTTTCAACACCGTGCTCCACGCTGGAAGTTGACAGAAGATTTCATTCAACAACTTTTTTGTCACTTCATATACCTGTGCGAGTTAAATTGGCAATGCACCAACGAGCCATGTTATAAATACAGCATGGTTTAGAGAAAATAAGGAACTGTACTCACTATGAATCCTTTCCCCGACTCCGGCTCCATGCGGCAGTAGACCTGCATATCCTGGTCTCCGTGCTGGATGGTATACACACCGCTAGTTGTCTGACCAGCATCCAAGATCTCTTGACAATCTGCTCGCGGCTCCATCGGCTCATGGGTAGTGCTGACAACTGGTGTCATGTCGGCAGGAGTCGATGCAACAGGTGTCGACCCCGGGGCAACTTTAGAAGTCGACTCTGGGCCGGTGTCAGTGACTCCGATCGTCGACTCCTCCGGTTTGCTCGCGGTGCAGTTGAACCAACGGCCGATAACCTCAGCAGTCACCTCCGGTAGCATGTCCATATACAACGGAGGATCCTGCCCCTGCATCTCAGGCGCGTAGCGGTGGTAATGACCGCCTAGTCTTACCCCTGTACAGGTGCAAGGATCGCCCGGTGGCAGGACAAATCTCCCCATGCGCTGGCCGCAACTGCGTGAGCCTAGATCAATCATCAGGGTACAGACTCGGGCCGAGACCGTACTGACCACTGCATTATCAGTGAGAACAATAAAGAAACTAGATTATGTTTGTGGAAAAACACATGGCTGTTTCGGCATGTCATTTTATAGACTAATGGGATGTACATGTGCAGTAGAATGTTGCAGAAATGTTAAGGACCAATAGTTCCGTAGATATCGGTATTAGAAAAATGTAACTCCAATGTGACGACATTTTTAAGGTGATGACGTCATTATGATGTCATTTCAATTTTCATCTATAACACACCGTGGCTTAGGTACATTCCCACAACCAAATTGGACAGTAGTTCTGCAGGTACATGCATAGAAAAATGAACCTGTAATGCGGCGTCACATTGCAAGGGATGACGTCATCATGAGTCACTTAACAATTTATCTGTAACACATCCCTGACTTGTACATCCCAAGTTACAACCAAATCGGACTTATAGTTCTATTGATCTAAGCCTTAGAAAAAAGCTTTTTAATGTGACGTCACATCAGATATGATGACGTCACATGACGTCACGTAAATGTCCATTTAAAACACATTCGGTTTGGGTACACACCAAGTTACAAACAAATCAGACCTATAGTTCTGCAGAAAATGCACATACATTGTGACGTCACATAAAACATGATGACGTCATCGTGACGTATTTTCAATTTTAATCTATAACGCATCCCGGTCTACACTCCTGGCCGAATCCCACTGGGCCCCCACCCTCCCCGGCCCCCGTTCAATGTTGTCTGTCATTGCGCGGTGTGTGCTCCATTAGCTGGAGAGAACAACATTGACCGGGGGAGCGGGGGAGTGGGTGACTGTTGCTAGGCTCAGGAAGTGTCCCAATCATTTTGGCCGGGATTGTAGACTGTTTCCCGGTCCCACCTAAAGATATTTTCAAGTCAATGGGGTCAGGGAACCAGACTAGCCTGTACCCTTTAAAAGCTACAGTAGCTTTAATTATGTCTTTATATATATAGGGCATGATAGGGCAGAATGCCATCCCTACTTCCTTCACAAGATTCTGTGAAGCTCATCGGCCTAGCCCTTCCCGCTATCATAAAGGAGGCACATCGGTATCGTGAACAGCTCTCCTGGTGCAATATGGTGTTCTTGTGTAATGCTGTTTTCGTGTATATTTAAGGTGTTTTTTTTCTTCTTAGAATTAAGGATGAGAACGTTTTCTTTACTTTTTTTTCCATTAAAATAATGTTTGATTACAGCCTGGTGAAGGACTGTTTGGAACAGCGAACGGAATAGGCCTAGAGGCCTGATTAACAGTGTTACCAACCAAATCTGTAAAAAGAAATTATCGTTTCCTTTTTTTTTCAAAACGTCCGTATTTTGTTGAAATAGTAGTGATTGAGTTGAGAATCTGTATCTCTCCATATACAAACAGTAAAAGTCAGGTGCGGATCCACAGGGGATTTGAACCCCCTCCCCAACCCCACCCAGCTGGACCCCCCCACCCCCCGCTGTGACACATACAAAATAGGCTAAACAATTACAAACATGATAAGATCGGATATAGAAATCAAACGGGTCTGAACCCCCCCCCCACCCCGCCAAATTTCAAAATAGCCTACATAATAATAGTGTTCATTGTTGCGTAACGATAAGTATGTTTAGCGCACGTGTAGGCCTACTACTAACGAGACTGCCGTATACAATTGTCCAAACAAATAAAAACGGTTGACTCATTACTGCCCGAAACATCGACTTCAATTTTGCTCGTCCATGAAGCCAAAACAGATGCACACAGCAATGTTTCAGGTTTCTTCGCCTATTATTAAGACAAATTGTTTTTGAGGAGAATTTGTTCGATCAATATGACTATTCCATTATTAGTGTCGCAATTTTCAGTAGAAGTAAGAAACGCAGTATGCAATACCAGGCAAAAATAAAAATGTACATTGTAATGTGTTTATTACGTTTCAAAATAATAGCACTGTAAAACGCGAGAACATGTGGCACGTTTATAAAATAAACGCAGTGTTTTAGATTTAAACACTATGTGACAAAATTAAACGCATCATGTGTTTTTAAACAAAATAGTTAGCGTTTAATGTCAACAGTGCTATAGGGTGTTTATTATGAGATCGGTTTTAGAAAATGGTTTACCTGTTCAATTTCACTAGTTAGCATTTTGTTTATTCCCAAAGAATAACACTTTGTTTAAAAAAAGGCTTATTAACTAATTAGGACACTAATAATAACTCAAGTTATTAATTTAGCTGTTTGTGTTCAACACCTAATAAACACGGTACACGTCACGATGTTTAAATATGACCACGTGATGTTAGGTCTTAACCAATAGGATTAAATCTGATTGCGTGCTGGCGCGGCATAATCGGGCCAGTTAATTACGCGGCACTAAGACAACCGCCATTTTTCTGACAATAATCTGGGCACACTAATATAATAATGTAATGGCGAGAATTATTATCGTCATTCGTGGTAACAAAATTTGCACGGGTAATGAAACAATATACATGTATGATGTAGTCTCACAGAAGGCACTAACAGTTGGTCATGACCTAGGCTAGAGGTCAAGTTTGGTATGCATATTGCCAAGTCAGCAAGAGTACATGTACTCAGATGCAACGTATTCTGTGCATGCAGTACGACGGTTGTAGTTTGTGTAGCGATTCCCATCTAATCGATGCATTGTAGCAAGTCTAATCCATGTATCCCAGCATGCATCACTCCTAACATGGCCGCTTACATGTTCGTATGTGAACTCGTGTTGTCGTCTAATAAACCTGGAATAGTTCCCAACATATCGGAGTCTATAACTTTCTTCATGGTGTCAGTAAGTACAGGATTCGTTTCTTAATACATCATGGCTACTTTCGGCAATATTGGAGAGTTTTGTGAAAAGAAAGAGACATGGGAAATGTACACTGATCGTCTCGGCGAATATTTCGCGGCGAACAATATCTCCGACGCAGCACGCAAAAGGGCCATACTCAACTCTGTCGTTGGTTCACAAACATATAAGCTGATTAGCGATCTTCTTGCCCCTAAGAAACCAAACGAAGCTACATATCAAGAACTAGTGGACAGACTTGAGAAGCATTTCAAACCCACAAAGTCTAGCATCATTGCTCGCTTTCAATTCAACAGCCGCTGTCGGCGATCTGGTGAATCAATCGCCGAATATTTAGCAGCACTACGTGCACTGGCCAGTGACTGCAAGTTTGGCCAAAACCTTGATGAAATGCTGAGAGACAGACTTGTGTGTGGCGTGCAGAATGAACGCATCCAGAAATCCCTGCTTGCCCAACCAGAGGACAAACTTGACCTCAAGCGCACAGTGGAACTTGCACAATCAATGCAGCTCGCAGGTGATCAGGCAAAGATGTTGTCAGCCTCTACCAGCACAATGGCTGAATCAAATACCACTGTCAATGCTTTCAGAAAGAAACAAGCTCAACGCCCAAACAGACCAACATGGTCAAATCAACGGCAGACATCTGCACGCAGTAGTTCTACACAGCAGCAAAAGCCCAGAAAACCTTGTGGAAATTGTGGAACTTTTCACAAGAGGCGCGAATGCCCAGCCTACGGCAAGACTTGCCACAAATGTAACAAAAAGAATCACTATGCTGATTACTGCAGAAGCAGCCGCCACGTCTACACAGTAAACCCCGATTCATACTCGGAGGAAGACGAACCTGCCGTGGATGAGCAAGAATTATTTTACGTTCGAGCCGTGGACAACACCAACTTGCACTTGAAACATGACATCCACGCTACGCTTGTGGTGAATAACACACACGTTCCTGTCCAACTTGACACTGGTGCACGTTGTAACGTCCTGCCCATGCATGTTTACAATGTCATCGCACCACCTAAGTCCATCGATAATTCAAAGTCAACCAAGCTCATCGCTTATGGAGGAACCGAGCTCCACACAGTTGGACTAGCTACACTGCCATGTCGCATTGACTCATCGCAGACTGACCATAATATTGACTTTCACATTGTTGACACACAAGTGAAAGCTATCCTCGGCTTAACCGATTGCCTCCGTCTAGGCCTGCTGTCTGTCAATAACTTAGTTTACCATGTCTCCAATGACACCACATCGCCTCAAGTCTTCAAAGACTACGAAGACCTGTTTGACAGCTCGCTCGGGTCACTACCAGTCATCTACACCATGACCATAGACCCCAATGCTACGCCGGTTGTCCGACCCCCACGTCGCATCCCTGCTGCAATGCAAGACAAGGTCAAGTCCGAACTGCAGCGGATGACTACCCTAGGCGTGATCACTCCAGTCTCCGAACCGACAGACTGGGTTTCCTCCATGGTCGCGACTCATAAGAAAAACAGCGAAGAAATCCGCTTATGCATCGACCCTCGCGACCTTAACGAAGCACTGAAACGCCCACACCACCCTACCCGAACAGTAGAGGAAGTCGCTGCCAAGATGGATGGTGCGACAGTTTTCTCAGTGCTTGATGCTAAATGCTCGTTCTGGCAGATCCCCTTGGATTACGAATCATCACTGCTGACTACATTCAGCACGCCATATGGCAGATACCGCTATCTTCGCATGCCCTACGGCCTCTGTTCTGCCTCCGATGTGTACCAGTGAACCATGGAGCAGATATTCGCCGATCTGCCATGCTCCATCATCGTAGATGACATACTAGTTGGTGGACGCACTAAAGAGGAACATGATCGAAACCTCAAAACTGTCCTTGATCGGATACGCAAAATCAACATGCGCCTCAACCCCACAAAGTGCCGCTTCGGTCTTGAACAAGTCTCATATGTCGGTCACGTCTTCACCGCCAGTGGTCTTAAGCCTGACCCAGCCAAAGTCAGTGCTATCACCGACATGCCTCCACCCAACGACGTTACTGCCCTACAACGCTTTCTTGGCATGGTGACATACCTGGCCAAGTTTGTACCCAACTTGAGCGACTTAACAGCCCCACTACGCGAGCTCACACATAGTGACATCCATTGGTGCTGGCTAGAGCAACACAATGCCGCATTTCTAGCAATCAAGGACAAGATTGCTAATGCGCCGACACTCACGTACTTTGATGTCCGCAAGCCAGTCACGTTGACCTGCGATGCCTCCAAGTTTGGCCTTGGCACAGCCTGCCTACAAGAGGGTGCCCCTGTCGCGTATGCTTCACGTACCATGAGTGACACTGAACAACGCTACGCACAGATTGAAAAAGAACTGCTTGCAGTTGTGTTTGCCTGCACCAAGTTCCACGACTACATATACGGTAAAGACATCGTAGTCGAAACTGACCACCAACCATTGGTCACCATCGTCAAAAAGCCTCTGCTGAGTGCCCCTGCGCGGCTCCAACGCATGCTTCTCCGGTTACAGAGGTATAACATCACCCTTGTGTACAAGAAAGGAAAAGAATTGTTCCTTGCCGACACTTTGTCACGTGCACCCTTGACAACGACCGGTACTGAAACTGATGACCTGCAAGTCATGACCCTCCTGTCAATCTCTGACATGCGACTTGAACAGCTCAAGAAAGCAACTGCCTGTGACTCTGCCATGCAACAGCTCACTGATGTCATCAGTCGCGGATGGCCTTCGCATATCAACAATGCCCCACCAAAGGCCCACCCCTACTTCGCGTTCAGAGATGAACTGGTTCTCGACCGCGGTATCATCTTAAAGGGACATAAGGCCATCATTCCCAAGTCACTACGCGCAGAATACATCCAAATACTGCATGAAGGTCACCCAGGCATCGAGGCTACCAAACGCAGAGCCAGAGATGTAGTCTACTGGCCATCAATGTGCCTTGATATCGAGCAGTCCGTCTCTGGATGCACAGTTTGCAACGCTACCAAAGCCCATCAACAGAAAGAACCACTGAAAAGCTACCCCCCACCCAGCCTACCATGGGAACACATTGGAGTTGACCTTTTCCATTGGAACGGTATGGATTACCTAGCCCTTGGTGACTCATACTCCGGCTGGTTTGACTTCGCTTCACTCGACAACACCTGTGCCTCTACAGTCATTGAGGTACTCAAGAGACAATTTTCCATCCATGGAATCCCCCCGCATCGTTATCAGTGACAACGCACGACAATTTGATTGCTTCGCCTTCAAACAATTCGCACAGTCATGGGGCTTCCAGCATACAACCAGCAGTCCCCATTTTCCCCAGTCCAATGGCCTTGCAGAAAGCTCTGTCAAGCGCGCCAAACAACTCCTCGAGAAGACAAAACGCGACGGTTCAGACCTCTACCGAAACCTGCTGAACATTCGCAATGTCCCAACCAACCCCCAGCTTGGCTCACCTTCCCAACGTCTCATGTCACGGCGTCTTCGCACAACCATCCCTACCCCGACGCCACTCCTTAAACCCGCCATTTACACACGCGTCACAGCACAGTTACGCAAGAGGCAACAGCAACAGAAGTCTTCATACGACAAATCTGCCAAGCCCCTCCGACCACTGACACCAGGGCAAGTTGTCCGTCTACAATCACCCAAAGGGCACGATCAGCTTGGAATTGTCCGAAAGCATTCCAGAAACCCCAGATCGTACATCGTCAATGCCCAAGGTACACTCTACCGCCGCAATCGGAGACACTTATTGCCAGTCCCTGAACCACCTCCACAGCAACAACACTCACCTGACTTCTACTTACCGCCACAGGATCCACTGCCTCAGCCTGCCATCCCCCACGCACCTCCACCACAGCCAGTTCTCACTCGTTCCGGTCGCATCTCGAAGCCAAATCCTAAATACACTTAACAGTTTTGTGTGACTGTTATTGCTTTGACCACACTGGATTTGTGTTGTCCAAATTTCATGCTGATAACTTTGGACTGTCCTCGACTACTGGACTGTTAGTAACTACATTTGCCTACTCAACATGTGTTATGTGTTGTACACTCCAAAGATGAGGGCAGAATAATCCCTTGTACACACATCGAGTACTGAGACAGTCTATCTCAGTACTCAAGGCATTTGAGTTTTGTTTGTTGTTTTTTTACTATATTATTGGTTTAACCCTCTGTTTGTTTTTCAGAGGAAAGGATAGTAATTGTTTATCTTGGTACATTTACATAACCAGTGTGTTTTTTAAATATTCATTAAGTGTTTTCAAATCAGTGAAATACTCGGACTTTAAATTACCACACTCCAGTTTACAAATTCACTGATCAAACAAATGTTTATTACATAAAGCTGTTTTATTCAAAATGTTAAAACTAAACTTAGAAGAGAGGATGTAGCGATTCCCATCTAATCGATGCATTGTAGCAAGTCTAATCCATGTATCCCAGCATGCATCACTCCTAACATGGCCGCTTACATGTTCGTATGTGAACTCGTGTTGTCGTCTAATAAACCTGGAATAGTTCCCAACATATCGGAGTCTATAACTTTCTTCAGTTTGAACCAGTTCTGGAAGCTCCCACACAGGTGGTAAGTTTTGTCTTTTGTGTTGTTTGATTTAATTAATCCCTATATACAATATGATAGATTTAGAATTACGAGATGAGATGAATTAGTGGGAGCAATTATTGGCCAAAGGATCGTGTGATAAAACATGAATATGAAGGGGAAAAAACAACCCTGATTTTGATTTCCTCATATTATTTTTCTTGGATGACGTTGTTGTTATACAGTATAACTGCTGTGCAGCTCACAATATTATGAAGGAAGTTCTGTATTTGAGCCACATTATGGGGTGGTCTATGTTGAGTGTATACTTAATATGAGGCTATAAGCCTATGGGGCGAATTACAATTGCAAACACGCAGTGTCAAAATGTTTGTAATCTTGGAAAATTCAGTGAAGTGGATTTTTGTTTTTTGAAATCGTGATTTAACTATTCAATAAAAGCATGCTAGTGTTATCACCACTGCCTAAGTTATGTAAGCTGAAGGGGACCAGCATGAATGATTTTGAAAAGAAAATTCTAGTATTTGTAAGGTCAGGTACAAATTGTTTAACCATCATTTCCATTTCACATGATGTTATGGGCGTATATTGTTTTGATATTTTCTTTCTGTATATTTTCAGGGTGTGTCTCATCCCTTGCAGATGAAGGAAGCTATTGACTTTTAAAATAAAGTAAGTGTCTTTTGGCATTGATCGTCATTTGGCAGTGCAGTGTGTGATTGTAAAGATCAGCTGTGTATACAACTTTTGAAAAACCCGCAGTGCGTGTACATAAAAGATGATCCCCAAAATTTTGGTACAATGCAGTATTTCACAGGGATTCAAAACCATTCGTTTTACAGAACATGTTTGTTTTGAATATAGGGTCCTCTGCAGATGCTCGATGTAACTGCATACATGTACGTTCAGCAGAACACCAAGTTTGAACGTGGCGAGGGTACGAAGACGAGGAGAGTGCTAACTATTCATGAGGTAATTTTGTATTGTAAAATATATTATTCAAATCTTCAATTTAATTGAATGATGATGTTTGGCTGAGATTCTATCTTGCATAAGAACCTTTCAACTTCCACTGTAAATTTACTCTGGCGGTAAAACATCATGAAATGAAAAAGTATAACATTCTAGGTGAATACAATTTTGAAATACAATTTTAAATAGAAAGTCTCCGTAAATACCTACATGACTGCAAAGTTATTGGTACGAAACTGTGCAAAGCTTGCCTATTTTCTTCAGATTTTATTTTTAATATTTGATCCACGATCAAGCTCAAGCTGTAACTTTACAGTCTTTGTGCACATTATCTCTGATAACAAAGGTTAATATTGACGTGAGTCCCAAAAAGGCCGACAATTGTGCAATTTACTTTTGAACCCAATTTTGTAATCAGTTTTCATATTCTTCCTGGAGTAAACTTTATTAATGACTTGTCATTTTAGGGTCTCCATTATTTTTTTTTTTACTGTGAGTTTGGTTTCACTTTCAAAGTTGATCAGTTTTTGTATGGCTCACTCAGAAATCTTGTTCATGTCCACAGAATGCTGCTGAACCAGACAGAGTATCTGCATCAAAACTACAGTTTACATTACATGTGGAGACACCATCAAGAAAGTCTCAAACTACAACACGTACAATGATGCGCTTCTTCTCCAGCTTGGGGAACTATGCCTTTGATTTGGATTGTCCAAAGTATTTTCACGTGCTTTGAGTTCTCTTCAAAAAATCATAATTAGAGAAAGTTTTCCTGGCAGATTCCAGCAAATTGATGCAGTTCACTACAAGGTATTTGTGTATAAATTAATTAGATATATTGTTGAAATCTCAGCTAAAGATCAATACTTATTTTACCACTTCAAACTATAACGCAAACCTTCATAGGTTTTAAAAAACAAGTATAATTCATTTGCAGTTTTACTTCTAACTCTCATTGAATTGGAAAATAATTGATTTTAGCCCTATTTCCAGATATATTCATTTACTTTTAATTCACCCTTTTTGTGTTTGTTTATGTTTTTGTTTCTTTGTTTTGATACTTGTGAAAAATGTAATTGGCCTTAATGTTGGGGTCTTAAAAAAAGGATTGTTGGAAACATACTGATAGGCATGTGGCATATTCACATAAATGTCACATTATTTTTGCTGTCGTGATGTACAATATTCTCTAGGGGTGACCATAAAAATGCATTTGTAT